GCAGGGCTGGGGAGCAAGTCAGGCAGAGGCGGGCAGGCCAGCTCTTACGAAAAGTGGTCTATCCAGAATCTTATTCTGCCCTCAAAAGAAAGAAATTCTGACACAGGCTACATCGTGGATGAACCTGAGTGAAATAAGCCAATCACAAAGGACAAATCCTGTGTGATCCCACTTACAGGAGGCACCCAGAGTAGTCAGATTCAGAGACAGAGAATAGAGGGGTGGGTGCCAGGGGCTGGGGGAGGGGAGCATGGGGGTTAGTGTTTAATGGAGACAGCGTTTCAGTTTTGCAAGATGAAAAGTTCTGAAGACGATGGTGGTGATGGTTACACAACAGTGTGAGTATATATAACACTACTAAGCTATAACTTAAAAATGGTTAAAATGGTAGCCCGGCCAGTGTGGCTCAGTGGTTGAGCATCAAACCTATGAACCAGGGGGTCATGATTCACTTCCCAGTCAGGGCATTAATGCCCAGGTTGTGGGCTAGATCCTCAGTGGGGGGCATGCAGGAGGCAGCCGATCAATGATTCTTTCTCATCATTGATGTTTCTAGCTCTCCCTTCTCCTTTCTCTCTGAAATCAATAAAAAAATATATTTTTAAAAAAGGTTAAGATGGTAAATTTCATGTCATGTGTATTTTACTATAATTTTAAAAATGTGCCCTTGCCAACTTGGTTCAGTGGTTAGAGCATTGGCCTGAGGACTGAAGGTCAAGGGTTTGATTCTGGTCAAGGGCATGTACCTGGGTTGCAGGCTCAATCGCCAGACGCGTTGGTGTGTGTGAGAGGCAACCAATCGATATGTCTCTCTCACATTGAGGTTTCTCTCCACCCCACCCCCATCTTTCCCTTCCACTCTCTCTAAAAATCAGTTGAAAACATATTCTTGGGTCAGGATTAACCAAAAAATGTCTTAAAGCCCCTGAGTGGTTTGGAAGGCTGACCTGACAGCTGCATCTCTGAGTGGAGTCAGTGAAGCAGGCTGGAGGGCGCTCGGGGAGGAGGGCCTGTGCTTCAGGGGAGCAGCAGGGGGCACGCGCCCTTCAGCCCACAGCGCTGCTGAGGAAGGGGGCCGCCCACACTCACCTCTGCACCGTCTGGGAGGCCACCAGGAAGGACATGAGGTCTCCCCCGGTCAGCTGCTGTCCAGCCACGAGGGAACCCCCAATAAAGAGGGTGCCCAAGACCATGCAGTTGAAGGCGATGATGGAGAGCCCCTGGAACAGGGCGATGCCTCTGCCCAGTGCCTCTGCCTTACAGCGGGACCCTTCCAGCTCTGCTCCGTAGCGTTCCTCTTCCCGCTGCTCCATGGCGAAGGCTCTCACAGTCCGAACATTACCCAGGGCCTCATCCGCTACACCTGTTGCCCTGGCTATCTGCTCCTGACACTGGCGAGACAATTTTCGGAGAGCTGAGCCCATCAAGGTGCCAACTCCCATCAGGGAGGGCATGGCCACCAACATCAGCAGCGTGAGGCGTGTGGACAGCATGGACAGGGACACCAGGCAGCCAACCACCTGGGTGCAGCTTCAAAGCCCCTGGGAGATGACAAGTTTGAAGGACGATTTAAACTCCTGCACGTCAGTTGTCAATCGGCTCACCAGCTGCCCTGTCTTTTTAGCATCAAAGAAAGCAATGTCTTGTCGGAGCATGTTGCTGAAGAGGGCCCTCCGCATGTCCAAAGCCATGCACTCACCGATGCGGGACAGGAGCACCAGGTACCCAAAGGTCAGCAATCCCTGGGAGAGAAGCAGGGGCATTCAGGGGCGCCCAGGCGGCTTTTCTGTCTGCCCCGGCCCCCTCTCCTGCCATACCTGGAGGCCGTAGAGGAGGAGCAGGTGGGTGCTGAGACTCCGGGACTCTTTCAGGAAGTTGCCCATGTGGTCCCTCGTGTACTTGGCCACAATCTCCACCAGCTGGCCCAGGAGTAGCGGGATCTGCACATTCACCAGTGCCGCACCCAGTGCCAGCACGATGGCTGCCCCCAGGATCAGCAGGTGGGGGCGCAGAAACTGCCAGAAGAGCTTCCAGTTAAAGCGGGTCTCCACGTCATAGGGTTTGGAGGCAGGAGGGGCCTCTTCTGCCTCACACAGCGCCACAAGGCAGAGGCGGGGGCACTTACTCAGCACCACGGGGCCCAGGAGGGCTCCCCCAACCCAGCACCAGGAAGAGGGGCTTCGACCTGGACCCGGTGGCACTTGAGGGAGGCGAGCCCGGAGCTGGGACCGCAGCTGGGCCACAGCCCTGAGGAGATAGGAGCTGTGGCGGCCATCAGAGTGCCTGACGGTCGAGAATGTCTGGAAGCGGAGGGGGAGTAGCGGCCTGCCTAGGACAGTACCTCCCCGAATCCCGACCCGAAATAAGTGCACCAACATGATGGGGGGAAGAACAGGAGCAGCCAGCAACAGCAGTTTCACCCTTATCCTACTAAGGACTCCATGTTGGCTCCGGCCACCATCCCGACAACCCTTGTTTATATTTTCAAAGATACAGCACATTGTTTCATAGATCTTTTGTATTTTTTAGACTCTTATTTTACTTATTTCTGCTCTAATCTTTATTATTTTCTTCCTCGTACTCAATTTGGACTTTGTTTGTTGTTTTTTTCTAGTTCCATAAAATGTAAAGTTAGATTGTTTATTTGAGATTTTTCTTGTTCCCTGAGGTAGGCCTGTAATGATATGAATTTTTCTCTTAGGACTGCTTTCACTGTGTCCTATAGATTTCAGGTTATTGTGTTCTCACTTTCATTTGTTTCAAGGTAGCTTTTTATTTCTTCCTTGATCTCATGTTAATCCATTCATTGTTTAGTAACATGTTATTTAGTGTCTATGAGTTTGTGTGGTTTTCAGTATTTCCTGTGGTTGATTTTTTTAAAAATATCATTATGGTCAGAGAAGGCACTTGATATTATTTCAATCTCCTTAAATTTATTGAAACTTGTTAGTGTCCTAATATGTGGTCTAGCCTAGAACATGTTCCATGTGCACTTGAAAAGAATGTATATTCTTCTGCTTTGGGGTGAAATACTCTGAAGATTTCAATTAAATACATCTGATCAATGTGTCATTTAAGGCCAACATTTCCTTGCAGACTTTCTATCCATTCATGTCATCGGTATGTTAAAATCCCCTACTATGACTGCCACACTGTCAATCTCTCCCTTTATGTCTATCAAGATTTGCTTTACATATTTAGGTGCTCCTATATTGGCTGCATAAATGTTTACCAGAGTTATGTACTCTTATTGGATTGTTCTTTTTATCATTGTCTCTTAGTACAGCCTTTGTTTTAAAGTCTATTTTGTCAGTTATAAGTATTGCTACCTCAGTTGGGTTTTTTTCCCCCCTTTACTTTTAGTCTGTATGTATCTTTAGTTCTGAAGTGTGTCTCTTATAGACAGCAAATATATGGGTCTTGTTTTCTTATTCATTCAGTTACCCTATGTACTTTTATTTCCATTTCCATTTAAAGTGATTATTGATAGGTAGTATTTATGCTATTTTATTCTTTTAACTCTGTTCATTTTGTTTGTTTGTTTTTTTCTTCTTCTTTTTCTTCTACTTCTAGAAGCAGGCCCTTTAACATTTCTTGCAATACTGGTGGTGGTAAAAAACTCCTTTAGCTTTTACTTGTCTGGGAAGCTCTTTATTTCGCCTTCAATTTTTAATTATAGCCTTACTGGGTAAAGTAGTCTTGGTTTTAGGTCCTTGCTTTTCATCACTTTGAACATTTCATGCCAATCCCTTCTGGCCTGAAATGTTTCTGTTGAGAGGTCAGCTGACAGTTTTATGGAAACTCCCTTATAAGTAAGTAATTGCTTTTCTCTTACTGCTTTTAAGATTCTTTCTTTGTCTTTAACCTTTGCCATTTTAATTATGATGTGTTTGGTGTGGGTCTCTTTGGGTTTCCTGGACTTGTATGTCTTTTTCCTTCACCAGGTTAGGGAAGTTTGGGGTCATTATTTCATCAAATAGGTTCTCGATCCCTTGCTCTTTCTCTTCTCCTTCTGGTACCCCTATAATGCAGATGTTGTTATAATTCATGTTGTCCCATAGCTCCTTAAACTATTCTCATTCTCTTTAATTCTTTTTTCTTTTTACCGCTTTGAATGGGTGTTTTTTCTACCTTGTCTTCCAAATTGCTGATTCAATCTTCTGTTTCCTCCAACCTACTTTTTTTAAAATATATTTTTATTGATTTCAGAGAGGAAGGGAAAGGAAGAGAGAGATAGAAACATCAATGATGAGAGGGAATCATTGATCCACTGCCTCCTGCACGCCCCTCCCCCCCCCCCCAGGGGATCGAGTCCACAACTCAGGCATATGCCCTTAACTGGAATCAAACCTGGGGCCCTTGAGTCCACAGGCTGACGCTCTATCCACTGAGCCAAACCAGTCAGGGCGTCAACCTACTTTTTATTCCTTCCATTGTACTCTTGATGTCAGATACAGTATTCTTCATTTCCAACTGATTCTTTTTCATTATTTCTATGTCATTTTTCATGATGCTGTTGTTCTCACTAAGTGCCTTTTAATATCCTTATAACCAATACTATATCTGACGGATTGCTTGCTCCATTTCATTTTGCTCTTTTTCTGGAGATTGCCCCTGCTCTTTCACTTGTGACTTGTTTCTTTGTCTCCCCATTTTATTTGTATCTTTGTGGGGGTTTTTTGGTGTGTGTTTTTTTAATGTATTATAATTATCTGCTATGACTACCAATCTTTTTGGGGTGTCCTTATAGAGTAGGTGTCCTGTGGGACCCAGTTGTATAGTCTTCTTGGTCTCCTGAGCTGGGTGCTCTAAGAATGTCCCTCATGTGAGTTATGTGGGCCTTCCTGTTGGCCCATTTGTGGGTGGGATTGACCCTCAGACTGCCTCACAGTGAGGCTAAACCCTGACCATGATATGTGAGCTGTAGTGTAGGTGTAGGCTCAAAATGGCTTCTTCTGCAAATCCTTGGCTATAATACTCCTTTTCAGCTAGTCCTCACTTGGTTATTCAGGATGATTGTTCCCCAATTTAGTTGTATTTCCAGTTTGGCCCTGGGGGGAGGTAAGTGCAAGATCCACCTACTTCAGCACCATCTTGAATGTTCTCAGGTCAATGATTTTTGAAAAATATTTGTAAACTTGTGCTAACCAAATCTCTGATATGATCAGGTGGATTAGTAGTGTGATGCAAAGTAATGTTTTGGGAATTTTGCTTTCTTTCAGTGGCAGCATTTTCTTTCCTTCCTTCCTTCCTTCCTTCCTTCCTTCCTTCCTTCCTTCCTTCCTTCCTTCCTTCCTTTTTTCCT